TGCAAAGTTAAAGAGAAACCCGGTTTCTGTGAAAAAACATAATTGGAGTTTGTGTGAACACTTAGGGATTTTTGTAGCATGAATAATAAAAAGAAAAGCAGCCAGGCACTAGTTCTTAACTCTACCTCAGACTGAAATGGGCAATCCTACCTTAACAAGTCTTCAGACTGAGACTGCTCTGTGTTTCCTCCAAACCTCGGACTCCTGTGTCTTCTCCTTTATTCTCCTCTCTTTGCTCAGCTGTGTTGTGCCTGTCTCCACCTCCCTGCTGCTGGGATTAAAGGTGTGTGACTCTGAAACATGGTAATTACAGGTGTGAGCCAGCACCACCTGGATGTATTTCTGGATAGATACTGCATACCCTAGGGTAACCCTGAACTCAGAAAGATTGATCTCTGTCTGTCTCCTGTGTCCTGGGGTGAAAGGTGTGTGTTACCACTCCCTAGCATCTAGGGCCTGTCTTTGCACTCTGATTTCTCAGTCAAGCTTTAATTATTAATATAGAAATAAAACATCATCATAGATTTTCTTGTGCCAATTTAAGGTACAGGGGGAGCTATTATCTCAGCCTGCTGGTTAGTGGTGTGGGTGGGGAGTGCTATGCCTCAACCACCCAGTTTCTGGCATTATGGTATAGCTTGCTTTTCGGTTCCCTCATTTAAGAAGGAGCTGCTGTCTTTACACCAGGTATAGATGGCCTAAGGCAATGTGTCGTCCTGTATATGTAAGGCATGGGGCCGTAGCTCCTGTAGGGTTTAACCTGTTAAAGTCTAATATATGATTTAATATTTTTTGTTGTTGTTGTTGTTCCTGAATCCTGTCTCAAGCATTTAAAGCTGCTGGGATACATAGGGACAAGATGTTTTCATCATAAAGAGCCTGATCCTAGAGATCAGTGTAATGTCCCTCATCAAGAATTTGATCTTGGGAAATCTTAAGTCTTACTTTTCCTTGCTGTTCAAAAATTTTTGCCCCTTCTGTTCAATAACACCTTCAAAGCAGCTGAGGTCCATCTTCTAGGACCTGCTGAGATTATTTGAAGCCAGCTGTGTGGGGTAGCCTGGGTCTAGGGGTAGCTCGGATGGCCACAACCCTCTGTAGTAAAATCAATCTCAGCTGGATGGATGGGCAGGTGGGCCGCCCCACTGATGAGATCCGTGTCTCTTCTCCTGGTCGTGAATGACAATAGCCGTTCCCCATGATTGTTGGAATTCTGAGGGTACAATTGCTTCATTTCCAATTTAAGGTCTTTTGAATGGACCTGGTGAGTGGTGAACTTTTAATCTTCTTGGCTTCCTCATCCACCAATGGTAGGTGAGGCCTAAATTTCCAGTGGGGTAATTGGAGTGCCTCCATTTCTGTTAATATGGAGATGTCCTCCCCTGTGTGTGAGGTAACCCAGACACAGAAAGACAATTATCACATGTACTCACTCATAAGTGATTTTTAAACAAAAAGCAAAGGAAACCAGCCTACAAATGATAATCCCAGAGAACTTAGACAACAATGAGGACATTCAGAGAGACTTAGATAGATCTCATCTACATGGGAAGTAGAAGAAGACAAGAGCTCCTGAGTAAATTGGGAGCATGGGGACCTTGAGGGGGGGAGGCAAGGAGGGGAGCAGAGAAAAATTTAGAGCTCGATAAGAATCAATAAAAACGCCAAAAGTTACAGGCTCAATGTATAAAAAGGACCCTGGTCAGCCAAACTCTAAACATAGGGCGGAAGTCTCAGTCCTGTTAGCTCCTACAGGGGAGGGGTAAGAAAGTTCAGATTTACCAGTGCAGACACCGGGAGTCAAGTGAAAGGCAAATAGTAGACTTGTTCAGTGTGGCGGACCTCTCGACCAGCGACGAAGAATGACCACCACACCAGGATTCCACTCAGATCACGCTTTTACTGGAGTGCCCTTGATTGATGGGGAGCATGGAACGAGAGGGCGGGAAAACGAGGAATAGGGAGCAGAGGGGCAGGGAGCGAAGGGGAGAGGCAGCAGGAAGCGAAGGGGGGAAGGGCTCTTAGGCAGCTGCTTAAATAGGGAAATGGCACATGGGTCGCCCCGTGATTGGCTGCCACCAACAGCTGACACCAGACCGCATCGGGATAGGCTCAAGGATCCTCATCCACCGCGCATGGGGGAAGCGGGGGGACGCGCAGCTCTCAAAGGCATAGTCAGATATGGAGTTGTTTATTTCCAACAAGACAGGATGTCGGCTTGTAATGGCGATCCTGTCCAGCTCACTACAGTTCAGCAGTGGGGATCGCCTTATATACCTACCTCCCAGCACCCAGCCTTCTCAGCAACGGGGAGAGCCTTATATACCTGCCTCCCAGCACCCAGGCTTCCTCTGCAATGGGGAGAGCCTTATACAACTGCCTCCCAGCACCCAACCTTCTCAGCAATGGGGAGAGCCTTATATACCTGCCTCCCAGCACCCAGGCTTCTCAGCAATGGGGAGAGCCATATACACCTGCCTCCCAGCACCCAGCCTTCCTCACCAGTGTGATGATGTGGCATGATTACCACTCATTGTGTAGCCACGATCATGACCTCTGACAATACCTGTTGTTAGGCCTTCAGACAGAATCCAGGTTGGATCGTCTCGGCCTCAGGGCTTCATCTTCCTACAATTGCTGGGAGGCAGGTTGTAAACTGACTTCTAACTAGAATTCTTCCTTGTTTATTATAGGTCAAGCGGATTTAGTCAGGGACTGCTTCCTTCTTGGCCAGGGGTGCTGTAGTAAATAGGGGCGGCGGGGCTGCATCCCCAGCACCCCGGCTGCCTGGCTAGCTTATGCCCGAAATAACAACATACGAACTATATTCATTAAATCACTGCTTGGCCCATTTTCGGGGCTGCATCCCCAGCACCCCGGCTGCCTGGCTAGCTTATGCCCGAAATAACAACACACGAACTATATTCATTAAATCACTGCTTGGCCCATTTCTATCTAGCCTCTTCTAGGCTAATTCTCACATATTAATTTAGCTCATTTCTAATCTGTGTTGCGCCCCTAGGTGCGCTTACCGGGAAGATTCTAGCCTATGTCCATCCTGGGTCGGAGCTTCATCGCGTGCGCGTCTGCCTGGGAGCTGGGAGCATGGCGTCTCCCTGAGGCGGCTGCTCCCGAGAGGAGAGCTGTGGAGTCTGAGCTCACTTCCTCTTCCTCCCAGCGTTCTGTTCTGTTTACTCCTCCCACCTATCTTCTAACCAATGAGGGCCAAGCAGTTTCTTTTTATTTAACCAATGACCTTCCTCCATCAGGGTGCTGTGTTGTTTTTGTGGATTTCATCTGCATGTGGTCTGGAGTTCTCGCAAACTCACCTGTGTTACCCAGGAAGTAAAATGATAGGTATGAGGTATACATATTGAGGCTGTACGATTGGTTTGAATATTGGAGTGCTTTAATGAAGGAAGACGAGGTAGTTATATACGATCTCAGTCTTTTACTGTTTAAGATTGTTCACCTAACAAAAAGGGGAAGTAGTCTAAGCAGTCTATCCACTCCAGTGACCTCTTGCAGAGGTAGAATGGTGGCTCCGTTGTACTTGGTAGAAAGAGACAAAAATGGTCCCGTAGCGGACTGGAATCAAGTCACAGGACAGGTGAAAGTAGGTACCAGAGTTGGGCTGTTAGAACGAACCTACATCGTGTGTTCATTATCTCAGTCCAGAGTAGAGGAGGGTTCCTGTGGTTGAGATTGCAGTGGGTGTGGAGAGCAGCCAGTCCAGGGAGGGACAATGCAGTTCCGCGATTGGCTACAGCGGCCCAAAGTATAAGACAGGGAGCTGGTTGTGGGTGAGAGACATCAATGGGGCCACCAGTTTCACGAGGAGAGACAGACAAATGGATACGCCACGATACCGTGCCACAGGTCTCCGAAAGTGGCTGCTTCTGGGCAGGGAGCAATGGGCAGGTACAAGACAGAGACGTGGATAGGCTCACCGTGCAGAGTGAGGTTGGATATTTATTTAGTGGGTTATGGAGGGTGATGTGGTCAAGAACATGAGCGAGGTGAGACCAACTGGGTTTTTCCAGGCTTCTGTGGACAGAGTGTCAGTGATTGGGCAGGTAACCAGATGTCAGTCCTCAGCCGCGGGGAATCAGTAGAGATGAATGTTCATGAAAGCTGACCTGGACGGGTGCTGCAATGGAGCAGGCACAGGAAGTTGGAAAATGGTCCGAGTTCAGGATCCTCACATAGCTCAGGCTGCTGGCTTGCGGAATGCGTAGGAGAGACTGGCAGAGCCATGCACCAGTGTTATTCATGACCCAGGCAACCCAAGGCCGCGCAGTTTTCCTGGCTAGTTAGAGGCATACAGATATGCTATGTGGAAAGAGCTTGGGTATAGGCTGACTTTAATGGGGGGGGTGGAGAAAGAGGGAAAGAGAAGAAAGGGTATTGGGGGGAGAAGGGAGAGAGGTAGAAGCTACCTCTCCATCCAGAGGAAGGGCAGACAGAAAGTAAGTAGGCTGACTAGGAGGCAGGAGATCCACTTACCTTTCCTTGAAGCTGGAGATTGGGAGTAGGCATGCCTTGTCTTTAGAGGAACAGGGTATCCAGGTGCCAGGCCAGGCTAGCAGATTTACCTTTACATAGTGCCTTCATGGGGATGCCTTGCTAGCCAATTATCTTTAAGAAGTTGGTCCAGGTTAAGGTATTGCTTAACTTACGGCTTTCTGGGACCCAGAGAAAATGGGTGCAAGGTCTAGGTGGGCTCTTTTTGTGTGATTACCGTTTGGCACAGGTGAGCTTGTTCCTGTTTCATGAGTTTTCCCCTCATAATAAATAAAAATACAATTGTTTTATCATTTAGCTAGCTGGATTATTTCTTGTTATACTTCTCATCCATTTTTATAATGGCATTTTTTTACATATTGTTTGAGGGACTCTATTGCTTTCATAAAGTCAATTTTTTCCACTTCTGTGCTAGGGTGTTCAAGTCCTTCTGTTATAAGATCATTGAGTTCTGGTGTTTTCATGTTGTTTTTCAGATTGTTGGGTGAGTTCTTGCCTTGGTGCCTGCCCATCTCCTCCTACCGATGCTATCTATTGGGTCTTCTAAAACAGGATCAGATTTCCCTGCTGGACAGGGGCCCCCGCTTAGAAAATGCCCCCGATCCGTTTCCTGGCTCCTGCCACGAGCCAAGATCCCTCTCACCACTCAGCAGGGTCTACAGTAACAGGACCAAGCTCCCCGTTCACCAGGGATCTCGCCAACAAAAGGCCTACCACTCTGCAGGCCAGCCACCAAAACACCTACTTGAATTAGTTGTAGTGAAACGATATGCTCTCAGTGTGGGCTTCACTGTTTCAAGCTTGGACCATCAAAAAATATAAGTATGCGTCTGTGCCGCATCTTGGATTATTTCTTGAATCAAGCTAATTACCTGACTGCTGGCAGGAGTTGCAATGGTTCTGTATAACATTTTGACTGATTATCTAAGGGGTATTTGGTCCATGCCTTATTACAAAGGCAGATTAGTCAAGCTCTTAGGATTCCTGCATTGTATTGGTCCAGTCCAGCTAGGGCTGACAGTGGTGGTCACATTGAGTCTGCAGTGCTCCGTCCCCCAATAGTGTCTATGCTTCTTCCCTGAAGCCTCTGTAGGAGCATTCATACCGCCTTGTCCCCTCACCTGTAGCCTTCACCGAAGCCGCCTTGTGCACTTTTGAGGCTGTGCATTGGGCCACATGCTCAGAGTCACATTTTCCAAAGACCACGAGGGGCTCAACAGCAAGGTGGCTATTGACAGCACAGCAGCTTGACACCTGCTGGTAGCACAGTAACACGTGGCCAATGACTGCAGGCACACAGAGTCTATGATGTAGTGACTGTGCTCTCCGAGTTCCTGATTGTACCTAGCCAATCAGAGATGAGCATGAGATGCCACTGTGAACAGATGGGAATACCTTGGTGCTGGGAGGGTCAATAACTTTTCCCATGGTTAAATAAGTCTGCTGAAGCATGCTTTGTAAAGTATCTGTATTTGAATCAGGTAACAAAATGTTATTCATATAATGGTAAATTATAGACTTATCAAATTGCTTACGAATTGTATTTTAGATGTTTGCTTAACAACAAATATAGGAGAATTTCAAGGGCTCGTAGATTTTTTTATATGTCGAGCATCTAATCGCTTCTGTACCAGCTGCTTTCAAGCCTGCAACGTTTTCCTCAGCTAGGGGCCATTGCTTAACCCGTCTTGGTTCCTCAGTCAACCACTTTAAAGGTAGGACTGTTGGTACATCTGAAGGGTTATTAATTGCTCTGTATTCTTATACAGCCCAAATGGCTGGTGTCTGTCGCCTGTAATATCTTCTAATATTTTCCTCAGAAACATAAGTTTTGGGGGCTGCAAGAATGTTAATCTGGCTATTCCATTGCTGCAATAGGTCACGACCCCATAAATTCACTGTAACATTGGCTATGTAAGGCCTTAGTTTTCCTATTGCCCTTCTGGCCCTTTGCATTCAGCCCATCTCGTGCTTTGTTTTACACGAGATAGGGTTTCAATTCCCAGGAACTGAACATCTACCTCCTGAAGAGCCCAATTTGGATGCCAAGATTCTGGAGTAATGATACTTACATACTCACCTGTGTCTAATAAGCCTTCAATTAAAATTTCATTTATAGAAGTCTGCCAGAATATATGTTTCCTCTGTCTCACCAGAGGTTTTTTTTTTTTTGTTTTGTTTTTAAAAACAGGGTTTCTCTGTGGCTTTGGAGCCTGTCCTGGAACTAGCTCTGTAGACCAGGCTGGTCTCGAACTCACAGAGATCCGCCTGCCTCTGCCTCCCGAGTGCTGGGATTAAAGGCGTGTGCCATCGCCCGGCTTCACCAGAGTTCTTGACTCATCCTCCACATTTATCCCATCATTCAGACCATTAGTGCTTTTGACAGCAGGCGTTGGAGTTTTTAATTTTCCTGTCGAGACACATTCTCCACAGTAACTGGCAATGACTGGACCACATTTGTCATGGGGCCTGCGAGAGGCTTCCCATAGCGATTCCCGATGGCATGGGATTGCCTTGTTTATTTTTTCAATTATAATATATATTTTGTTATAAATAATATTTGACATAATCAATTAAACATTTTTTTTTACCTTTGAGCCATATCACTTTGTCCTATAAAATTGGAGCTTCAGTGCCAGAAAGCTTCTCAGCAACTCTCAGTTTAATTTAGATTATTGGGTGAATTCTTGCCTTGGCGCCTGCCCATCTCTTCCTATTGATTCTATCTAATGGGTCTTTTAAAACCGGATCAGGTTTCCCTGCTGGCCAAGGGTTCCGCTTACCAACTGCCCTCGCTGTTTCCTGGTTCCTGCTGCAGACTAAGAACCCTCTCACCCCTCCGTAGGGTCTTCAGGATCAGGGCCAGGCTCCCCGTTTGCCAGTGACCTCGCCTACAAAAGGCCTACCTCTTTGATTTAATTGTAGTGGGGCGATCTGCTCTTGTTATTGCGCGCCCGTCCCTGTCTCATGCGTCTGCCGCCGCGCCGGTCCCCCAAAGCCTATTCCTGATTGCAGCGCCTCTCTGCCACTCTCAGTTTAATTTAAAAAAAAAATGGGTTTGGAGAGATGGCTCAACGTTTACTTTTTTATTGATATTTATTGAGTTCTAAATTTTTCTCTCCTCCCCTCCCTGACTCTTCCCTCCCCCCTTTAAGCCTTCCCCAAGGTCCCCATGCTCCCAATTTACTAAGGAGATCCTTTTTTCTTTTCTTTTCTTTTTTTTTTTTACTTTCTTCTTCCCACTCAAAATAATGGCTGAGATTCTGTTGAATAATCTCCTAGGTGCCAGTAAATCTGAAGCTCAGATGGTTATTCCTCATGGTTACCGGCTTTGACCTGTATATGTAAATCCTGGTCTGGATTCCCTCCTGCAGAAATCCCTGGGTTGGAGTTGGACCTGGGAGGGTTTCTGGTTCCAGTCTGCTGCCTCAAAGGTCTCAGGCTCAGGTGCATCCGGACTGGCAGAGGACCTGCTTACTCCCTCAGAGGTCCCAGACTCACACTGTGACCTGCAGGTCCCAGACCAATGCCCAAACCCACAGAGGTCCTGGCTCAGGACTACTCTCTCTGAGGTCCCAGACTTGTGCCAGCCCCCCCCCCCCCCCCCCCGAGATCTCTGGTACCTGCCTTTTCCCTCGGAGGACCCAGGTTTACTTACGCCAAGGCTGGCAGAGGTCCTGGCTCAGGCCTAGTTCTTGGGAGGTCCTAGATTCTTGCCCAGACCCACCGGGGTGTTGGCCTTGGTCTACTGCCTTGAAGGTCCCGGATTCTCAAGACAGGTTCTGCCCACAGATATCCTGTTTTTCCCTGGCCTAGTTGTTCACAAAAACATCTTACGATGGAGACTAGAGACTAGGGTTGGGGTCTTTCAAAGAGTCTGATATTTGTTTTTGACCTCCACCGCTGGTTGTTGCCTCGGCCCACGACTTCCTACCAGTTAGTCCCTGCCCTGTGACAGAAAGCGGAGGGAAACAAACAAACACAAATAGACTAACAAAACAGACACAGAATGCAGACCAGAAGCCTTGCGTCATGGAATCAGCGACAAACCAAAAGTAAAGTTCCAGACGGGAGCGGAGGCCAAAACCCCTGCGTCCGGGGATGAGGATGGTCTCCTTGTCCCCAGCCACCGGAGTGCCCTCCAGATCGAAATTCGGAGAACCTGTGGACTGGTCAGTCTGCTTCACGAATTTCTAAAGAGCCTGTACCAAATTTTAGACCATAGACAGCATGAACCTGTTGCTCCCTGGACTTTCCTCCTGTTGGGGTCTGGTATTGAGTCTGGGGGATTGTGAAATCCCAGATGAGCCCTCAAATGTAAGACCCTAATTCCTAGGTCTTAGTTCCAGAGAAGAGAAGCCCAGCGACTCGATTAACCAGTCAGCAGATGCAATAAGCAAGAGGGCTTATTACCGATCGTGAAACCAGGTGTCTTTGATCTCTGAGGAGGCAGAGCACCCCGAACAGCAATTCCAGTAAGGTCTTAATGGGCAAAACCCCACAACTTGAGCATATCGGGTACTGGTTATAAAATGATTGGACACAACATTTCAAACCGTATTGGCATTAGGATCAGGCGAGGGACACAGGTGTTTGTTTCAGTTAGGTCTCGGAAAAACGACAAGATGTTCTTTCTCAGGCCACGAACCATACCTGGCACGCAAACACGCTCCCTGTGTGGGTGGAGGGGACTAGGAACTGGGCTTGGGATTGGGCTCGGGTCAGAGTGTTCTTCCAGAAATCATTTCTTTCATTGAAAAATGCTTAAATCAAGAATTTGTTTAGTATAAATCACATATTTTATGCTTCATGAGGGTCGTTCGATGTTCAACAGCCCCACGGGACAGTCAGCAGACGAAGACAGGCTTCCCATTCAGGACGGGGGGAGGGGTTGTCTGCAGCTACAGTGATGGAGCTGGGCTGAGTGCATGCTCCTCAGCCACCACTGCCAGCAGCGGCTGGTGAGTTCCTCATCTTCTTCCGCCTCGGCTTTCCGCGTCTCTCCACCCGCATTGCCTGAGCTTTTGCGAGCGCAGAAAAGGCTGGATGGACCTAAAGTCGGCTGGTAGCTGTCATGACCGCTATGCCAGATTTCTATGCCTGAATGAGCGTGGCATAGCCGCCATTGGCCAGAGCTGCCAGAGACTCAAGTGGCCCCAAGAACTGGGCGCCAACCTTAACTGTTTCCTCAATTTGGGAAATAACCAGGCCAACTTAAACATAAACAATTATATTTTTGATTGTTATAAGGGAAAACTCACACCACAAGAATGGGAAGTCCGAGTTCTGCCGTGTCCCGTGGGAATCACCTAGAGCACACGAGCACCTGGTCCACCCCAATTTTCTTCATGGGTCTCAGGTAGCCATGCCTTAACTAGGTTCCACTTAGAGGTGATTGGTTGACATAGCTTCCCCCAGCAGCCTAAATCTGCAGTAGCACAGCTATGCAGGCTAGGACTGTGATAGGACCGCTCTGGAGGCTAGAGCCTAAGGAGAACAGCTCAGCCCTAGAGAAATGGTGCAGGGGCCCGTCTGTAAACAAATTAAATTGAGCCAGCCACCCGCAACTGACTTTGACTGAGGAGGGGAAGTATCACCATGCAGCCCCCAGGTTTCGGACACAGTGGGGAGCTAAGTCAAGTAGGAACAGATTTATTTCCTTACAGAATGCCACGTAGAAAGTCTTTAAGGAAGTGGAAAGGGAATTATCCCATCACATCCGCAGTCACATCCGCATGAGCAGCGGTTCCTATAGCCCCTAATGGAGACAGACCATGAGGGCAGGAGACTGGTCTGAGTCTTTGTAGGCTGCTGCTAAGGGCTTCCAGATCTCCTGTTGTACCAGCTGGAGGGCTTGCAAGTGAGCCTGCAAAGTGGCGGAGGTTGCATAATTAGCAATATCAGAATCAAAAAAGGCTATAGCTGAAATCTATATAAGATTTCAAAAGGAGTTAATGTGTGCCGGGGGTGTTCCTGGCTCGATACAGTGCCAGGGGTAGGAGCTGTGCCCAGTCCCTAGCGCCAGTCTCGAGCATTAATTTAGTTAAAACCTCCTTGATTGTTCTCTTCATTCTTTCTACCTGCCCTGAGCTCTGCTGTCTATAGGCACAATGCAATTTCTAATCAATCCCCAGTAACTTGGCCACTGACTGACTTATCTGGGAGATAAACTCAGGACAATTATCAGTCCCAAGCACCTTGGGTAGTCCATACCGTGGGAGGATTTCTTCCTAGAACTTCTTAACATTATCTCAGTCTCCCCTTTCAGATGTCCAGGGCAATGTATAATACTTAGTCTCTTAGGGAGAAACAAGGCTTTAAGCAGGGCCAAGATTTCAGCCTTGTTTTTTTTTAATTTATTTATTTATTAAAGATTTCTATCTCTTCCCTGCCACCGACTGCCATTTCCACCCCCCTCCCCCAATCAAGCCCCCTCCCTCATCAGCCCAAAGAGCAATCAGGGTTCCCTGCCCTGTGGGACGTCCAAGGACCACCCACCTCCATCCACAAAACTCAGCCTTGTTTTTAATGTCCTTCTGAGGTTAGAGGGCTCTTCCCTCCTCTGATATATTTCCCCATGAACGTGAGCGGTGGCAAAAGCATAGCAGCTGTCAGTATAGACATTGAGTGCGTTACCTTCTGACCGCTATAGGGCTTGGGTGAGCGCTATGAGCTCTGTCCGCTGAGCCTGAAGTTCCGGGTGGCAGGGCGCTGGCCCAGATTAACTGCTTTCCGTCCACTATTGCTGCTCCGGCCTTCCTTTCTCCGTTGAGCAGGTAACTGCTTTCGTTGGTGTACCAGGTCAGGTCAGCCCCTTTCAGGGGTTGGTCCGTCAGGTCTGGCCGGGTTCCATGCATTTCCTCAAGGGTTTGTTGGCAATCCGGAGTGGGGCGCAGCATGGCAGGATTCAAGATGACTGCTGGGCTGAAGCGGACCCTGTCCTTACCCAGCAGGAGTGACTGATAATGAGTCATTCTGGCATTGGAGAGCCAGCGTCTCGGTGGCTGGCGAATGAGGGGCTAAAATGGTGAGGGGCTGACCCAGAGTCGGTTTTCCAGCGTCC